ACACAACACTACACAACACTACACTACACTACACTAATTGGACCACACTACACTACACAGCACAGCACAACACACACTCTCATTTACTCTCGCTCCACCTACTCAACCTTCTTCGTCCTTCACCCCCCCCCCCTTTCTTCTTTCCTCTTCCATGCACGCAGGTGTACGCTTCAAACACTTTCGCCATTCATGTCCTGTGCAGCAACGGGGCCGTGAACATGAACACTAGCGTCCCGCTCCCACTTGGGTGACACATCACTTCTGCTGTACCAGCACGATGCATCCCAGCGGTTTGCAGTCAATCAGCACGGCGTGCATACTTGCCGCAACATCAAACGGACAGTCACGTCAGACGCTTGCGGGCGCTACGTGGCAGGAATCTTCCAAGTGGCGCATAGCACAACAAAGGTGTGTGTGTGCGCGCCCGTGTGTATGTGTGTGTGTGTGTGTTTGCCCCTGCATGTATGCGTGTGTGTGCATGCGCGTGTATTTCAGCACGACGTCATTCCTTGCCCACACCTTCCTAACCCCTGCACACTCGCTTTGTGTACGTTTCTGCTACAAACTTACTCATGTGCATGTGCTGACGTGTCTTCATCTTCACAACACGTGCGCCTGCGTGACAAATGACAGGAGACTGGCCGACAACCGGCTGGCATCGTTTTCCATTGACATCATCGGCAACAATCCACTCAGCATCCTGTACGTGCACATGAAGACGACGAGAACGAAAGCACCCCTCACTGAACACACACACATGGCACACGTGCGTGCACACCCCCTAAACACCGACAGTCCACATCCACATCCACGTCCACAAACGCAGCCTTGCACCAAGTTTCCTTGCTCATCCTATCTGCATTCATATCATAGCCTCTCACACACACACTCACACACCCCCCCCCACACACACACACAGGCGACTGAACAACAACACGCTGGAGATGCTGGTGTACAACAACGACACACGCTGGGCCAACCTCACACAGCTGTACGATGCACCTCGACAGTTGTCGTGCCTGGAGCACCACGCCATTGCGAAGTTGTCTTGCTTTTGTCAGCCACTCACATACACGATGATGGCTGGCTGCTTGCAACGCTGCAGGTACTTGCGCGACAACCCGTGGTACTGTTGTGGCATGGAGTGGTTCCGAGACGCTGTTTCCATTGTACAAGACCTCCCCTTTGTCGCATGCACCGCCCGCAAAGGGTGGCTGGTCACCTCATCGCAGACACAACGGGGACAATCACCATCTGCACCCGAGGTGTGGCATGTCTACCCGCATGAGGCACACGGCACACACGTACACGCCCGCACACACGCACTGCATGAGGACATGATACGTGCACTTGCTTGCTCAGACAGACTACGCATGCACACGCCTTTACTCATGGGGTTTGTCCTTGCGAGCACCAGCGTCACCCATCCCTTCACAGATACGTGCGCACACGGACACACTGACACACGTAACCCCACGCACACGCACACACACGCACACACATACCCCGACGTGCAGTTGATCCTGATGCGCCATCCACACTCAACGTGACATCGGCAGCACCGACAAGTGCCACCGCTGCGTGGCCGCGGCCCCACGGTAACTTTGCTCCCATCGACTACTACACGCTCGATATCCGCCTGCACAACACCACGGACGCGTGGCTCCCCATCACATGTGCCAATACCTCGTTCCCTCCTGGTGACACGCGCACACCGCTCCCGCACAACCAGTGGCGAGTATGTGACAAGAGGCTCAGTGTGTGTGTGTGTGTGTGTGGTGAAGGGGAGTGTGAGTTTGAGTGTATGTGTATGTGTGGTGAAGGGGAGTGCGAGTTTGAGTGTGCGTTGTGTGTGTATGTGTGTATGTATATATGCATGTGTGTGTATGTGTGTATGTATATACGCATGTGTGTGTGTGTGTGAGAGCACGTTCATATCCCATTCGAATCTCAACGTTCATGTGTGCACTTCCCGTGTGCGTCATTTCTGCTGCACACATCCACACCAAACATGATCCATGCACACAGTACGCCTCCTTCATCTTTGCTCGCTCTCTCTCTCTCTCTACTATTGGCCTCACACGCCTCCCTTCCCCCAAAATCACACCCACGCACGCCTCCCCCATGTGCAGTCGCTATCTTGATCACGAGCCCGCGAGTATGGACGAGCTGGCAACACCGCTGCACGCCACAATCACCGGCCTGCTTCCGTTCACCGCCTACGACGTGCGTGTGCGCGCTGTGCACGGTCGCGGGGTGAGCGGGTTTACAACAGCAGGTGTTGTGACTGCAGAGGATGTGCCGAGCAGACCCGCCGCTCCGCTGGTGCTGGAGGTGCGGCAGCGCGCTGTGCGGGTGAACATCAACGCCCCGACCCCCGCCAACGGCCGCATCGTGGCGTATGATGTGCAAATCGTGGAGACGCGCATGGAAACCCCTGGCCGCCGGCCCCTCACTCGCATCATCACGCTCCCCACCAACGGCGACACCACCACCACCAACAACAACAACACCACCACCAACGCCACCATCAACACCAACGCCAGGGAATACACGAGCAGTGACCTTCGCCCGGCCACGCCGTACAACGTGAGCGTGCGCGGTGTGACGAGTGCCGTGGCCGGACCGTTCAGTGCACCTGCGCTGGTGACGACGCTGCCGGCTGCCCGGTGACAGCGCTAAATGAGGTGCATGTGCGCGTCAACGCGACGGCCTGCCTGTTTGAGTGGCTGCCGCTCGCCGGGAACGATGCGGTGTACGCTGTTGTCATGGGTTCTTGTGGCCGTCCGCTGCGTTGTGCGTTGTGCGAGTGCGCGCTGCAGTTGGCGGGCCGTTCAGTGCACCCTGGTTGCCTGTGTTGTTGTGTAGGCGTGTGTTAAACTTACCGCTACTGCTGCTGCACTGTGGTTCTGCATGTGCCTTGTGTCCTTAGGTCCTTGAGTAAAGATGAAAGGCAACGTGTTGATGTGACATGATTTGACACACAATGCACAGAAAGCTCAGAATGCTAGAATGGGACACCACAACAATACCTGACAAAGCTCGACAGCTCGAGCTTTGGCTTTTGTGCAAAGGCAGTGGCGTACCTCCAACCGAAAGACAGGTGGTAAAATGTTGGTAAAGGGGGCGTGGCTGTGAATGGCGCGTTGACGATAATCTGTCAATGCCGCTCCCGCTTGCCGCTTTGTAATTGGCAAACTTTCGACAGATGGGCGTGTCTTCTGTCTTGTCGCAGGTGATTGGTTAAATGGGGGAAGAAACTTTGCTGAGAAAACCCTAGCAGCCAGCCAGTGTGTGTGTGTGTTTTGTTTGTTTGTTTGTTGTTGTTGTTGTTGTTGTTGTTGTTGTTGTTGTTGTTGTTGTTGTTGTTGTTGTTGTTGTTGTTGTTGTTGTTGTTGTTGTCGGAGAAAAGAGGCCGTTGTCATTTCTCCCTCACCACCAACACCAACACCACCCCAGACACACACACATACACACACACCACCACCACCGCTGTGGTGGTGGTGGCAACACATCGCGGGCCTCCCAAAAGTGCTTTCAGCACTGATTAAGGTAAGACACACGCACACAACCCCCCCCCCACCACCACACACATGTACATTCGGTCACATGCACATGTACTAAGCCCCCCACACCCTCACACTTTTTTTTCTCTCTCTTAGGTACCAGTCAGTCCCGGAAGTGGACGGCTGACACTCACTTTTTTCCCCTCCTTTTTTTGTTTTGGTGAGTTGGTATGGTGCCATTTTTGGCGTCCCAACCAACGAGCCATCCTCGCCTCGGCGAGGAAGGTAAGCACCTTGCTACCTTGCAACAACACCAACTCCTCTCACTCAAATGATCACACACACACACACACACATGCACATGCACATGCACATGCTTGCACCCACACTTACTCACAGACACACCACGCATGCACATTGGTTCCTCGTTTCTTCGTTTCTACTTGGACTCTGGATTTGCCGACTGTCACCCTCGCCGACTGCACCTGATCGTGACTGCACCTGATCGTGCCCTTCACGCTGCCTCTTGTCTCTTCCCCTGTCGTCTCTGTCTGCTTGTCTCTCTTTCTCTTATGCTGCTGCTGCTGCTCTCGTGCTTGTCTGTCCCTTTTCTCTTCTTTTGGCGGCTGTTCGTGGGCCAACAAAAATTTGATTCGATGCACAAAGGAGTGCCCGTCTTGTTGTTGTTGTGGTGTGCTTGCTTCTTGTGTGTTTTTTTTTGTGTGTCGTGCACTCTGATGACTGCTGTTCGTGTGTTTGTGTTTGTGTTTGTGTTTGTGGCATGGTGTTGTTGTTGTTGTGGGCTGGATGCTGCCGCTGTCGCAGTGAGTGCATCCTCCTCCTCCTCAAGCAGTGAACCGGTCCTTGCACGGCTTGTGCGCGACAACAGCAATTGCTCGTTCGAGAGCCACTACCCGTATCAGTACGTGACGTACAAGACCAGCGAGGCGCCCGTGATTGATGGATCGCTGGACGAGCCGCTGTGGCAGGAGGTGGCGTGGACGCGCGACTTTCTCGACATTTCGGGCCCGGATTTCCCGACGCCACGCTTCAAGACGGCCGCCAAGATCCGCTGGGACGACAAGCACCTCTACATCGGGGCCTACCTGCAGGAGCCTCAAATCTGGTCTGTCAGCATGTGTGCATGTGTTCGTGCATGTGCGTGCATTGTGGAAGTGCACGTGTTGTCTGCGTGCGTGAGTGTTAGTGCATGTGTGTGTGTGTGTGTGTGTGTGCGCGCGTTTGTGCTTGTGTGTTTCTGTGTGCGCGCGTGTGTGTGTGTGCACACTGACTCACTGACTCACTCACTCACACACTCACACACACACACATACCCACTCACTGACTCACTCACACACACATACCCACTGACTCTCTCACTCACTCACTTACTCACACTCACTGTCTATAACTCAACCCCCAACGTTGTGTATCAGGGCAACGCTCACGAAGCACGACTCGGTCATCTTTCACGACAACGATTTCGAGGTACTGGAGTTTGGACGCAGACTTGGTGGTGCTATATTCTCGCGCATCTGCAAGGATACAAACTGGCAGGCAATTGCACCAGTGATGGCAACGTCACCAGACATTCGTCATCACCACCCCATTGATCCATTCATTTGTCCTATGTTTACCATACTCACTCTCGCATACACACACACGCACACAAAAACACACACGCTCACACTCACACGCTCACACTCACACACACACACAAACAAACAAACAAACAAACAAACAAACAAACAAACAAACAAACAAACAAACAAACAAACAAACAAACAAACAAACAAACAAACACACGTGCTCACACACTCTCACTCACTCACTCTCGCATACACGCGCGCTCACACACACACAAACACACACACACAACCAACCAAACAAACACACACACAAACAAACAAACAAACACACGCACGTCGCCAGGTGTTTGTCTGCCCGGATGGGACGAGCCACTACTACAAGGAGTTTGAGATGAATGCGCTCAACACAACCTGGTCGCTGTGCTTGAACAAGCCCTACGCCAACAACGGTTATGAAAACAGCAGCCGCGTCTTTGGCAAGCACGGGTGCGTGGTTGCAATTGAGCGTCAATTCACTCAAGCAGTGCCCCATATATGTATGCTGTTTTGCCGTGTCACCCGCTCATTGTTCGACGCGCACTCGACAACAAGGCTTCGGTTTTCCTCCTTTGTTTCTTCTTCGTTTCGCTGCGTGTGATACCACTCCACCCTGCCTCCGCCCTGCCATTATGAGCTCACATCACTCACGTGGGTGCCGGTGGTACCCTGCTGCCTGTGGGCAGGTGGGACGACCCAGGCTTGCGGTCTGGCGTGTACGTCGACGGCGTGCTCAACGACGTGAACGTGGTGGACAAGTACTGGACTGTGGAGATTGCGTTTCCGCTCACGGCGCTCGCGTACAACACCACCGCCAACGTCCCGCCAACACCTGGCGAATACTGGCGCATCAATTTCAGCCGTGTCGAGTGGCACGTCTTCAAGAACGGATCACACTACTCAAAGGTACGTGTATGTGCGCATGTTCTGAGTGCGTGTGTATGTTCTGAGTGCGTGTGCATGTTGTGTGCGTGTGTATGTTCTGAGTGCGTGTGCATGCTTTGCGTGTGGGTGCATGTTTTGTGTGTGTGTGTGTGTGTGTGTGCGCGCTCGGTGCGGCCGTGCGTGTGTGCGTGTGTGCGTGTGTGTGATGTTTGTCAATGCCATGCCATGTCATACATGACTGTATGCTTTTGTGCTTTGATTTGTTCCCTCACGTCATTCCCTCACGTCACTTCACCACGCGTTGCTGCGCTGTGCAGGTGCCAAACACACCTGAAGACAACTGGGTGCTTGCGCCAACGTACAAGGTGGCCATTCACCGACCAGAGTACTGGGCGTATCTTCAGTTTGCAGACACACACGTCAACGGCACAAGCGCCGTCAAAGACCCCGACGTACGCCCCCCCCCCCTTTCATCATGTGCATGCTTGTGCGCGTGTGTATGTGCATGTGTATGTGCTGTTTGCGTGGGTTGTTGTGATGTGTGTGGTGTGTATGAGCCTGTTCGTCGCTCACCTTGACGGCGTGGGGTTGAATGCAGTGGACGATCCGCTTCCTTGCCATGCAGCTGTACTATGCAGAGGTAAGCGTTGGTACACGTTTCTTTGTACGTCTGTTGATGCACATGCTCGCTGGTACTGCGTGTTCTTCCTGCACCACCCCCCCCCCCCCACACACACACACACATGCACGCCACGGTGGACAGCTGTCATTCAAGATGAAGAGTGACCGCTACTCGGCGGATTTGGCCGAAGTCGAGCAATACACGCCAATACCAGGCGCCCTCACACGCGGATGCACTGTACGTCTTTCATGGCCATGGTGGTCGTGATATGAGCGATGGTGGTGGGGGGGGGGAAGGGTGATTGGCCAGATGTTTTTTCATCTTGTTGAATGATGCTGCGTATGATGCTGCGTCTCAACGCACACACACAGACACACACTACACACACACACACACACACACACAGACACACACACAGACACACACACACTACACACACAGACACACAGACACACACACACACACACACACACACACACACACACACACACACTCGTCTCTCTCTCTCTCTCTAATCCCCCCCACACACACACAGGGCAAGATCAGCGTGAGTGTTGATGCGGAGGGGAAGCACTACTCTGCGCACGTGCCGGATGTGAGCCGTCGCCGCGTCGCCGTGATACGAGACGACAGATACCTCATTGTCCATGACACATAGTGCAGACCATTCCTGCCGCAGCCACACAAACACACCCACATACACACATGCCACCGAGTTAACACGTTGCTTGTGTGCGTGTGCGTCTTCATGGCTGGCTTGCTTGGCTGTGCACCTTGTCAACCTCTCCATCCTTGTTCCAGCAAATAAAACAGTCATTTGTGTGTGTCACGATCTTCACCCGCACACGTCAGCATCATCGTTGTCATTCGTCGTTCCACTGCCAACCACAACAACAACCACCACCACCGCCATGAAGAAGATGAACCGCGAACTGAAGATGGCACTGCTGGTGCTCCTGTACACATTACAGGGCATTCCCATGTACGTGAGCACACTGCACTCAAGGGGGGCGGGGTTGGGGGAGGGGTGCGTGTGTGTGTGCTGGGGTGCAGACTTCCGTGTTAACTGCTTCGGGTTCACTGACTGTGCAATCATGTGTGTGTGTGTGTGTGTATGTGTGTGTGTGTGTTCGCGTCGATA